ATTTCATGGCGCTGAGACTTGTTCCCCATGGTTCTTGTGCCCCCTGCACAGCTCACTGTAGCTTTGAGGGAGGGCATGTGGGGAAGGGTCGGGGCAGAATAAAAGTCCAGGGAAACCCCTTCCCAGTGAGGCCTCAGCAAATACTCAATTGAAAGGGTTCAGCGAGGAAGCGTGCAGGGTGCTGTGTCTGTGGAAGTTCTCGCATTCTCATGGATTCGATCCTGGGCCTTTGGGAACTCTGTGGAACATGTCAGGGTTTAGCTCAGTCCAGGATATACAAGTTGCAATTTTCACTTAAAAGTTGCCACCTGGAATCCAGACTTGGTCTTCAGTGGCCAGGAAGCAGAGCTGAGCGTGGGTTTCTCCTCGACCTGCTGCACACATGGCAGCTCCAGCTCCAGTGTTTTGCAGACGTGGTCTTTGCTTTCCGGCATCTTTCAACCTAACAGAGATAAAAAGAACCCCCGATAAAAAGGGACTTCAATGGAGTCTCTTGAAAAGAAAGCAGATATGCTTAAAGTATTAACACATTGGCTCTAAGTGTAGTTCATATTTATAACCGCATGAGGAATTTGTATGGGGTGTGGGAAGAAAGTTCCAAGACATCGAAATAGAGAGACTTGAGAGGTGGGGGCTCGGGGCCACCTCACTTCTCTTGGCTAGCCGGCTCTCCTCTGAGCAGCTGGGATCTTATGGACTGCAAGGAAGAGCAGGGAGATGGGTTACCTTCTGGAGAGAATGCTCCAGATGAAAACGGTGACCTGGTTTAAAATGCTGTTTTGACGAATGAATCATGCAGAATATCATACCAAGGAATTTGTGTTTCCTGGTGGGAAGTTGTTGGTGAGGCTTGTCATACAGCTCTAACGAGGTTCACACCTTTAATTAGTGCTTAAACTTCTCTGGCGAGGTCTGTGTCGGGAAACTCAGACAGCAGTGTTATGCTCATTTCACATTTGGAAACTTGAGGAGCACTGGGGCTTATCTGCTACACGTGGGTGACCATCTGGGCTGGGCTGCCAGGAACAGCAATGGTTCCTGCATCTTGTCTTACTGTCATTATTAATAGTGCCCCCGTTCTCTGTCACCAGCCCTTTGGTTTACATCTCAGTATAAGGTCACCCTGGCCAGCTGACACACTGCTGGCAACACTAGGACTGAAGACCCTACATTTCAATCACCAGGTCATCCATGTAAGCAAATGTTTTCCCAGTTGTCAAAAGTCCTTAATGAGTGAGTTACAGGGTGACATACAGCAATGTGTCCCTTAGAAAGGAGACATGTAACACATCAAACATGAGGTCTCTGGTTGAAACATTTTGGTTTTGTTTGTTTTTCACTTTGTTTTGTTTTTCTTTCACGGTTATCAGTGCCTTTGAAAATCACATTTATGACCTCAGCAAGCATTGGTTATTTCTTTTATGTCCTAATGTTGTGATTTGAAGCTATCTTATCCTTAGGATTAAAAGAAAAATTGAAACATATCAGAGTAATTCCATGTATGTTTGGTTCTAGCAATGATTTCTCCCTTGAAAAACTTACATAAAGGAGGTTGACATGCTTTCCATAGTCCTGTAATTTTTAAAAAATATATATTTTATTGATTTTTTATAGAGAGGAAGGGAGAGGGATAGAGAGTTAGAAACATCCATGAGAGAGAAACATCGATCAGCTGCCTCCTGCACACCCCCTACTGGGGATGTGTCTGCAACCAAGGTACATGCCCTTGACCGGAATCGAACCTGGGACTCTTCAGTCCACAGGCTGACACTCTAGCCACTGAGCCAAATTGGTCAGGGCCACAGTCCTGTAATTTAATTGGGCTGTTGAGAAGTCATATGTAATTATGATTAATGTCCATTATGATAGATGCCCCTTTAAGTTGTGTTATCAAAACCAACAAGGAGCCAGTAATAGGTTAGCTCTGACTGCAAAATCACCATCTTTCATCCCATCACTTGCCTTTCCTTTTATTTTATTTTAATTTTTTTAAATATGTTTTTTATTGATTCAGAGATAGGAAGGGAGAGGGAGAGATAGAAACATCAATGATGAGAGAGAATCATTGGATGGAACCCAAAATCTGGGCATGTGCCCTGGTTGTGACCTCCTGGTTCATGGGCCAATGTTCAACCACTGAGCAACACTAGCCGGGCTGGTCTTTCCTTTTAAATGACACTCTTTTGGTATGTTAGTTCATTTTGAGTCATGGATTGCCAACATGGAGCGATTAACCAAAAAATATTCTTGCACCTTCCTTGGTTAACAGAAATGGGGTTGAACATTTAGCCCCTGGTATCATTATTATAGCTCTCTATATAACTGGAGGAAAATCAAATTTCAAGTTTTTCCCGCTTCCCTTCTGCCTTTCACAGCAAATTTCAAGGGATAGCAGTAGGCAGATTGGTTTATAATGGCATTTTTTAAGCCCAGAAATTACATTAAACCGAAAAGCATGGAGTACTTCAAATAGTTTTATTCCAGAAAACATCTCCACAGCAACAGCAATGACAAGAATCGTATTTTTCATGAAGATCTGACTTACAGAGCTTATGTCGATGGCAGAGTTCAGTTACTGTTTTCCAGAGTCCCCTCTCAGAAAAACTGACATTCAGCAAAATGTTCATAGTAAGTTCTGTGTGCTTTGGGGAGAAATGTAGAGTCAGTGCAACAACAGCATTAATACAGAGCCTTCTCACATTGTTTTCCATTCCTGTGCTCCAGGAGGAAGAACAAAGGGCTAGTAACCAGTCCAAAAGAAGCTTTCCCCCATAGAATGGTCAGGAAGTTGAACTATTCAAGAGAACATGTCGTGCTGTAATATACGTCCAGATTTCATGGTCCTTGATGATTTATGTCAATTCACTGGGAATGCCTTTCTCTGTTGTGCATTCCACATAGAGTTTGGCTTTCAGGAATATCTACAGAGGAGGCAGTCTGCTTTGTCCACGGGGGAGAGAGAGGAGGGTCCCAGCACGTGGTCTGCTGAGGGGGTGCCTGGGGCGGCCTGGAAACTAAACAGAGTTCAGAACTAGTGGGAGAGCTGTCCCCATTATGTCCATCTAGGGGTTAATGGGGCCCCTGAAGGGCTGTTCTCACACTTTCCAGATAGCCCCAAGAAAGTATCATTTGCATCTAAAAATGGATTTTTTTCCTGTTTGGATTGAACTAGTTAGGAACTCACACACACTTGGGGCAGGGCCGGGTGCTGTCTGTTGTAGGTGCACTCTTATCTCTTTTACTCTGGGGATTTTGTCTCTGTGCTATGTCAAGTGACAAGGAGGAGCTGCTAGGAGCAGGCTGTTCACACACCAAAGCAAATCGGGTTGGTGTTCCAGCCCCAGGACCAGGAACATCTGGTTTAGACTGACACTCTGGGGTTGCAACCTCTTCTCTCCTGTCCCTTCCTCTCCCCTCCCCTGCCCTCCCCTCTCTCTCCCCCTCCTCTCCCCTCCCCTCCCTTACTCTCTCTCTCTCATCAGACCCCCCATCCTTCTGACATTAATAATTTGAAGACAAATAACAACAGCACAAGGATCAGGATAACCTGGACCTGAGGGACTGAATGCAGATCCCTCCTGAACCTGAGGACATAGTAAGGTTAAAACAAGTTTCATCTGGCATTTGCCTGAGGGCCACCAGTACAGACACTGTGTAAGATTAGATTCTCCTTAAAGCAAGATGACCTACTAATTCCCTTGCAAAATCATGGAGACCTCGAGTTACCTGCCCTGTCCACCCACCTACGTGCATGCATTCATAGGAGATTCACCACATCTTAGATTTCAAGGCAAGTCCTGTTCAGAGTTTCTTCTTCCCTTTCCATTGTGAGTTCCGCTCACTCCCTGGCACATCCACTTTCCTTTTGGTCTATATCCTTTGTCTTCTAGGGGCTTCCGCATCTGTTTGCCCTAAATGGCCAAAATATGTCCCCCCACACAGCCAAACGCACAGGGACCCAAGGTCAGAATCTGGAGGATAGGCCAGCCATTGTTCTGCACCAATTCTTTATCGAAATTAATCTAAAGCCTTGCCTGATTGGCCTGTGACCTGGGTCAAGGTATGGTCAGCAGGCTGACCATTGTCCTTCCCCCCCCTCAACTGAAGGGGCCCACTACACATTACAATATCACATTCTTCCTACTAGTGGTTGTACTACTTTTAGATATTGATGTTGCTTAGATTATTTTTCCATCTTTTTTTGTGAACATTGTGCCTATTTTCACTTTCTGGGAAATTTGCCAGTTTTTCAAGGACTGGGCAAAAAACAAAATAAATATTTGTAGGTAGTTTCAAAGGACAAAGTAAGTCGGACATACCACTGCCCATCCAAAGTAAAGCATTTTAGTTGCTTTTCAGATATCTTAAACTAATTAACTTGAGAGAGTCAGAAGGTTGATTTCACTAAGTGTACTTTTCAGCTCTGTGATCCACGGTGTGTGTGTGTGTGTGTGTGTGTGTGTGTGTGTGTGTGTGTGTGTGTTGGGGAAAGGTCCGGAGTCAAAGTGTAGGCAAATGAGTACAGACTTCTTAAAGCCCAGTTTAAGTGCTTGAAATGGACCGTGTCAAAAATAAACCACCCCTGTGTATGCTCATCAGGCTGCAAGTAGTGCCAGAAAGTGTTTCCTTAACAACATTCAGCGTACACTCTTTCTTTTAAAAAAAAAGTTTAAGGGATTTCACTGAAATTTGGTCCGTTCAGCAGTTGGCTGTTTATAAATATGTGTAGCAGCCTATGTGGGAAGCTGACTCAGTGTCTGAGATTAAAGAGACCAGAAGGTTCGCGCCGGTGATCCCGGCGCAATGTTTCCCACCCCCGGGCTGCGAGGGCTCAGCGGTTGGCCGAGGTGGAAACAGGCAGCCCGTGTCCCTGGGAGGGAGGCCCGTCAGCTGTG